ACAAAAGGCCTAAACCCTAAACCGTAAACCCTTTATAAACCCTAAACCCCAAACCCTAAACCCTAAACCCTAAGCAGTCCTTCAATGGGACCTTCTGGGGGTTCTTCTGTGAGCGGCCCCGAAGTCATCTGCAGGCAAGACGAGCCGAGATTCAGAAGCCAGGGCCTTGGTGAGGTTTAGGGTTTAGGGTTTAGGGTTTAAGGTTTAAGGTTGAGGAAATCCCATGTGTCAAACAGTGGACTTAAAGGAAGAAGAGCCACAACAGGGGCCCCATCACCCTAAACCCTACGCCCCGAACCCTAACCCCTAAACCCTAAAGGACTCTGCCTTGACATAGACAACGTTGTCTATCGGGCCTTGAGGATGTGAGGGGTATTAGGGTATAGGGTTCAGGGACATACCAAATACAGCAAATCCCTACATCCGAGACCCTAAAACCCAACAAATACCCTGAACCCCAAACCCTAAGTACCCTCAGCGCTCAACCCTAAACCCTAAATGCCGTCTACCGGACAAACCCTAAACCCTAAAGACCCCGGTCTTGCCCTCAGCACCCCGAACCCCTGAGCTGACGAACTTCCCAGAGAGCCCAATACCCCTGAATTGAGGAGGTTTAGGGTTTAGGGTTTACTCCCATATCCCTAAACCCTAAACCCTTTATAAACCCTAAACCCTAAACCCTAAACCCGCGAGCCAAACCATCCGAAGTCATAAATACTTCAGACACCCTGAGCCCCAAAAGCCCATCGCACCCCAAAGCCAGGTGGAGCCAGCGAGTCAAAGAGCTGGAGGCTTGCATCGGAGGAGTAGGGTTTAGGGTTTAGGTTTTAGGGTTTAGGGTTTAGGGTTTAGGAGGGTTTAGGGTTCAGGTTTAGGGTTTAGGGGTTGAAGACTTGAGAGAAGCCCACCAGCAAAGGAGGTAAAGACGGCTTGAACGACTGTAAAGAGTCTGAGGTTATAGTTGACATTCAACAGAACTCTTGCAGTCGTTTGCCCGGCAGTACACCTGGCAAGCTTGTGCGAGGCTGGGTTCAAAAGGATTTGGCGTTTAGGGTTTAGGGCATGTTCTTCCAGAGCATCAGTGGTTGTCAGGTTGATGCATTGGGATTCAGTGCTGCCTGTGACCATGAGGGCTCATGGGCCCAGATGCCACCCACACCCACACCCACACCCACACCCACACCACCGGCACGCGAGCACGCCCGCCCGCCCGCCCGCGCGCCCGCCCACCCACACGCACACCCACATACACACGCGCACGTGCGCTCACACACCCACACGCACACACGCGCACACTAAAGCTCCAAGGAAGCTTAAAATCAGCAACAAAAAACGGCCACCACGGCGTTTCAAAATCCTCTAGCCGCACAGTACAGGGGCCCCTAGGGTTTAGGGTTTGGGTTTCGAGGCCCCCTATTCAGAAGTAGGATCAGATTGGGTTAGAAGTCTTGGCCCCTACTTGCAGGTTTAGGGCTTTAGGGCTTGAGCGTTTTGGGGCTTAGAGTGCGGGGTTTTAAGGGTTCAAAGCTAAGGATTTTTTCGGTTTAGGACGTTACCTCAAACTCGAGCCACTCTTAATCCTACTTCGCCAACAAATGAGCTTTACACTTTCTGGGTTCCTTATTCAATGGAACCATACAGCTGAACCTTATGTCTTCCTTGTTCAGTGGAGAAGTAACAAGTTTGAGTCTTCTGTAACAAGAAAAGAGTCGTTGTATGTACGACGAGACAAAGAGTCTCAGGGGATCGTAGTATGAATGTGTCGAAATCATTACTAATAGTTTCCCATATGGTCCCTTTGTAATGATGCGTTACAAACCCCCCCCAACAAAAAACTCTTCTATTTCTTCAGGCCCCTTTTTCCCTAGCCCTTTGCCCCACGACCCTAAACCCTAAACCCTAAACCCTAAACCCTAAAACCCTAAACCCTAAACCCTAAACCCTATTCTAATTAAGGCCCCTTTAGTACAGATGCAGGCAAAAGCGGTCGACGACCGCCTCCAGAACTCTGCGCCAGCTTCGGCCCAGGCGTTTAGGGTTTAGGATTTAGTGTTTAGGGTTTAGGGTTTAGGGTTTAGGGTCCTGGCAGAAACGGGTCCTGGCCCTTCAAGGATCTGGCTAGTCCCCAAGCCCAGTTTCAAAAAAGGGTCCTGGCCCCCTATAGTTATAAGGAGGATTATAAGGGGCCCAAGATTGGCTTACAGAAGCTTAATTACGTAGGCTATAACTTCCCTAGCTAAGTTAGTCTAGGAAGCGGGCCGCTATTTGTCGGATGGCCAAGGAGACCGCGCGGATGTTGCTGCCCTCTTATGTTCTGGAAACCTTAAACCCCAAGCCCTAAATCGAGAAACGGCAGTTTCCTTTGTGGGGCCTTTCTCGGGAATTTATGACAGGGATTCAAGGTCTGAGGCCAAAAATGGGCCCCGCAAGGGGGTAGTGGGTTGAGGACCCGAAGTCTTGTGGGTTCAGGGTTTAGGTTTGGGGTAAAAAAAGTTCTAGGGTAAATGTAGGCTCCCTGAGATGGTTTAGAGGATTGAGCGGTGCATAAGGTACAGAATGCCCGACCCCTATTTACACAGGTCGTAGCAAGAGCCCCACGATGTAGGGATCCCAAACCCTAAACCCTAAGCCTAAACCCCAAACCCCAAACCCCAAACCCCCAACCCCCAACCCCAAACCCCAGCCCCAAAACCCCATATCCATGACAGGGTGTTCGAGTTCGGGCAGGGGGGGCACGTGGCGGAACCCAGGGCCTTTTCAGGCCATACTCCTTGTTCTCAGTAGAGCTATACTACGAAGTGCTTGAGAACCCCCCCCCCCCCCCCCAAACAAAAAAAACAGCACACACACACACACACCCACATACAGTTTAAACCAAAAACACAAGCTTTCGTATAAGTGCAATGCAGGGATTCGTGTCTCTCTCTCTCTCTCTCTTTTTTTGGGTGGGGGGGGGGGGGGGTTCTGAAGCAAATAGTCGTTAAAAGGACCCTAAGTGGGGGGGTTTAGAAGTACGATTGCTCAGATTAGCAGCCCCTCCGTGGTCTCGCCTTGATAGGAGTCTGGGTCAAATAATGTTGAGGGTTTAGGGTTCAGGGTTGAGGGTTGGGGGTTTAGGGTTAGAGGGACTAGGTTGGAGTTGACGCTTATCCCTGATGCCTTGCTGCTCATTGCAACAAGCCCTGATGCCAAAGCTTACCCTTCTATACCATCAGTTGCAGAGTAGATTTTTTCTGTGTGGTTTGGGACCACTAGCGTTGCACTAGAATCTGGGAACTCTCATCTCCAACTACATATGTCCACAGCATGCTCCACGCCGGCCTGTTGTCAGCCATTTTGGCTTTTGAATTTTAGATTAAACTGCTTTCCTGGGACGGCTGCTGAAGCGAAGGAGGCGGCTTCCACGGTGTGATGATCTTGCTAAAGACCCAGAAAGCCCCATTCCCTTCACGCAGGAATCAGCCCTAAACCCCAAACCCCAAACCCTAAACCCTAAACCCGACACATCTCTATCTCGCAGGGGGGGGGGGGGGGGGGGGTCCAGATGAACGAAAAGGGGCCACCGTCGTGAATTCAGGGGGTACGGTGCTCTCTGGGGATGGCCAAATTTCAAGACACACATCCTACACATACATACATACATACATACATGGAGTGTAAAAAACAAGAGATTATATATATATATATATATATATATATACATACATGTATATATATATATATATATATGTATGTACATGCGCATATACAGCAATATATGTATGTATGTATGTATGTATGTATGTATGTATGTATGTATGTATGTATGTATGTATGTATGTATGTATGTATGTATTGTAATGTATGTATGTATGTATGTATGTATGTATGTATGTATGTATGTATGTATGTATGTATGTATGTATGTATGTATGTATGTATGTATGTATTGTATGTATGTATGTATGTATGTATGTATGTATGTATGTATGTATGTATGTATGTATTTATGTATGTAGGTATGTATGATCTATGTATGGATATATATATATATAAAGATAGATAGATATATACATTATTTCTTTATGGCTATTATGATTATCATGATTATTATCAGTAGTAATGTTATTACTATTGTTATGAGTATTGTTATTCTGATGATTGTCGTTATTATTGTTTTCCTTAGTGTTATTATTAGTATTGTTATGATTATTATTGTCATTCTTGTTATTGTTATTATTGATATTATTTCTATTATTGTTATTTTGTTGTGATTATCATTATCGTTGTTAGTAGCAGTAGCAGTAGCAGTAGCAGTAGTAGCAGTAGCAGTAGTAGTAGTAGTAGTAGTAGTAGTAGTAGTAGTAGTAGTAGTAGTAGTAGTAGTAGTAGTAGTAGTAGTAGTAGTAGTAGCAGTAGCAGTAGCAGTAGCAGTAGCAGCAGTAGGAGGAGTAGTAGTAGTAGTAGTAGTTGTAGTAGTAGTAGCAGTAGTAGTAGTAGTAGTAGTAGTAGTAGTACTATTAGTATTGGTATATATATATATGTATAGAGAGAGAGAGAGAGTTGTTTGTGCTTTTGTTTGTGGAACCAACCTCACACATGTAGCATATGACTTATGAGCACTTGTTTGGGTCTCCTTGCTAGGGTTTTCCGTTTGTGTGCCTCCTGCTTGCTTCGGCCGGTTAGGGGCTTAGGGTGCTGGTACAATCCCCCATCCAGTCCCCCTTGTCAATCTTGTTTTTAAATTTCCCAGAGAGACTGGCCTCAAGACCAGAAGATGAAAAGCGGCGACACGGCTTGCAGCCAAGAGCCCTCGCGTGCGAACCCTACACTGCACTCTGCATTAAGAATCCAACTTCCTGAACCCGGAAACACAAGCCCCCTAATTAAAGAAACATTTAACAACAAGGCCCTGAAGCTTTTGTCCCTAAGAACGGAATCTTGACCCCCTAATTCCCCAGCACACAAAGCCAGGAGCTGTCCTAGCTTTCCCCCGGGCTCCGGGGCGATCCGCTCGACCGATGCAAATGGATGCTGATGCCCGGGTCCAGGTGTAGGGTTTAGGGTTTAGGGTTAAGGATTTAGGGTTTAGGGTTTAGGGTTTAAAGTCCAAGAGGTGTGTGGCCTGAGGTTTATGTGGTGTGGCGGTTTTGGCAGTCTAGGGTTGCTTTTAAGGATTGAGTTAAGGGTTAGGGTGTAGGGTTTAAGTGCAAGAGGTGTGTGGCTTGAAGTTGATATGGTTTGGGCGTTTTGGGAGTCTAGGGTTGCTTTTAAGGATTGGGTTTAGGGTTAGGGTGTAGGGTTTAAGTTTAAGGTTTATAGGGTTTAGGGCTTTAGGTGCAAAAGGGTTCGTTGAAGGACGCTTAAGTTTTAGTGCTCCGGCTGCCCTCTGTGAACAAGGTGCAGGAAGGCATGCTTGGGCGGTCGCTGAACTTTAAGTCATGTTGGGCTACGATCTCTCTCTCTCTCTCTCTATATATATATATGTAATTTATATTTATGTGTGTATGTATATGCATTATTATATATGTGTATTTGTTTTTGTTGTTTGCTTATAATTGTTAATGCAGGTTGTATTCTGTGTATACATATACATATACATATATATATATAGGTATTTGCGTGCATGCGTGCATGCGTGCATGCAAGTATTTATACCGACATTACTTTACACCCTTCAGGAACCCCAAGAAAATAATGACAACTCATCCCTATATTTCCCTTATGAGGAACAATGTTATTGATTTTTGGGGTGTTCTTAACGATCCTTCGTATCTTCCTTAGTTGCGGGGCATTGTGTTTTAAAACGAACCACGACATGTAGCTTCTGACCCGATTATAAGGGGCCTTGACAACTTCAAAGGATCCCTTGCTTGCAGGGGCTTTTAGGGCTCAAGCTGCAAGGTACCCTAAGCCCTAGAAAACCCCTGGGCCCTGACCCTGACCCTTCCAAGAGCTGGATGTTCAACAAGGCTTTCGCAGAGGAGATGCGCGCTTTGGCGTCGAAACACCAGCGACAGCTGCGGCCCCAACACTATGCGTGTTCTGGGCTCTCGGTAATTGGGCTTACGGTTTAGGTTTTAGGGTGTAGGGTTTATGGTTCTTGGGGCTTAGCGTGCTTGGAGGTTCATGGGTAGTTAAGAAGCAGGTGTTAGCTATACTTAGAACCCTGAGGGGAACATCGAATCTGCTGTGTTCTGGCTTATATGAACCCTAAACCCTAATCCCTAAACCCTAAACCCTAAGCCCTAAACCCTAAACCCTAAACCCTAACCCTTACAGTCTTTAATGATGGTTCTCAGGGGAGAGTTCGGGATCTCCTGCGAGGCTCCTGGACCTCGCAACCTCACAGAGCGACTCACTGCTGGCAGCGCTGGAATCCTTTGCGGGAGGCCATTCGGAAGAGCTTGCGGGGTTTAGGGTTTAGGGTTGAGGGTTGAGGGTTTAGGGACTGGAGCGGAGGAGCAGAAAGCGGAAGCTCTACGTTCGGGGCTACATGGGTGACATGAAACGGTATGAAGGTTTTGGTGAGTGCTTTTTCAAGGGTTCCTTCCAAATTGTAGTATATACACATATACTGGGTGCCCATCATTATGGGCAAGACAGTATGTCAGGCTGCTTAGACCCACCTGTTCTTTGCCCAACATCTTGCCCTAAACCCTATGCTTGCAATGCGGACGTACCAGTTCAGCTGGGCGGGTAGCGACCAACACCGAGCCTCATGGCCCGACGTTGTCAAGGCTTGCAACTCCGATAAACGTCTCGCTCCGAAGCTGAAGAAAACACAACTCCGGGCATTTCCCGAGGCTTTTCAATTAGCGTTTCTTGGAGCACTGGGCTTGTTTTTGCTACTCTCTTCGGCGTGTTTTAGGAACAGCTTCAGAGGTAGGGGGCTTGCCCCTCGTGGTAGTCTTTCAAGAAGAATCTTAATGTTCATTAGGTTTAGGGCTCAGGGTAGTAGACGTTTTTTCCCCTATTCAGGGTACTTGTAACCCTACTTGTTGAACCTCCATGTCTGCATCCTGCATTGTTTATATGAGAAAATATGCAGCTGGCGACCAAATGAGCTCCAAATTTAGGATCGTGTACCCCATCGTCGCACCCCCTATTATTAGGGTGTGTGGACCATGAATCCGTTTAGGGTCCCTAGATATACTACGCTTTGATTAAGAACCCTCCAAAAAGGGATTCGCATCCTTCGTTTCGTGGAAGTTCTTAAGCAAATAGTAGCATAGCGCGCTATCTCATGGACACGTGCTTGAAGTTTAGGGGTTTAGGGGTTTAGGGGTTTAGGGGTTTAGGGTTTAGGGTTTAGGGTTTAGGGTGCCTTGTCCGAGAAGCGATCTTCGGCAGGCGTGCCAGACAACGCAGAGGCTGCCATGCGGTTGGAGGTCGGCTAAGCACCCCTAAATCCTAAACCCTAAACCCTAAACCCTAAACCCTAAACCCTAAACCCTAAACCCTAAACCCTAAACCCTAAGCTTCTCGAGCAGACACAGTTGAGGCTGAGCGCCCCTTTTGGTGAAAGCAGGTTGGTACAAGGAGGGGATCCCCCTAGTTGTATATTTAGTAGAGTTGTAAGGACCCTAGATTGGGTGATAAGGATCCTGAATTAGGTTCTAAGCCCCTTAACTATTCTAGTTAGTCGGGATGTTGCCCCCTTGTACAGACAGCCCTTAGTAGCTACTACAAGTCCTATTAAGGACTGTTAGTACAAGGAAGAACATCCCAAATAGTTAGTCTAGTAAGGGCGGGCCGATTCCGGAGTCCCAGACTCTACATCCCTGCACACTTCCCAGGCCTGCAAGCCCTTGGTTTAGGGTTTTAGGGTTTAGGGTTTTTTGGGTTTTAGGGTTTAGGGTTTAGGGTTGAGGGTTTGAGGGTTTAGGGTTTAGGATTTAGGGTTTAGGGTTTAGGGGTTTAGGGTTTAGGGTCGCAGAAGCCACACAAGGCACCAGAAAGCCCAGCACTGTTGTACCCACATCCCCTTTCGCGTTCAGGATAGATTCAGTCCACACCGCGGAGCCCGTTTGTTCAGCCAATTGGCCGTGGGGGGGGGGGGGGGGTGTGTTTGGCTCCATGAGAATCACCCACCTACTTGGAGATGCATGGATAGCTATAAGCAGGGATACAACCCTGCCATACCTTTAAACTGTACCCTAAACCCTAAACCCCTAAACCCTAAACCCTGCTCATGACTACCCAGGTGCCGCCCTCAGCCCTAAACCCTACAGAAAGCTTTCTTTGCCCTCAAACAGAAAAATCCAGCTCCAAGACCTGGACCACAAACCAAGGGGTAGTTGCAACTCAGGTTAGGGTTTAGGGTTTAGGGTTTGGGGTTTAGGCTTTAGGGTTTGGGGTTTAGGGTTTAGGGTTTAGGGCTGGCTACGGCTCAAGGGTTCAAGGCTCGAGTCCCCCTGGTTGTTGGCTTGGAGTTTCCGCGTAGCAGAGGGTGCCATGGCTTTTCCTGTACCAGGCTATGTTGAAATCTCAGATGCAGAACCTGATGACCGTGGCATGAAAGAGTGTAAGGACGAAAATGCCAATGATGACAGTCCTAAATCCTGCAAGAGGCCTCGTGAAGGAACTGGCGCATTAGCCAAGCATGGAGAACCCTTTCCGGAAGAGTCAGCAGAGGCGATGCTGGAAAGGCTGCTGAGGGACAAGGGGGTTGGCTCTGACTCACCTGCACCAGCTTGGGCCATGCAGATGCAATCCATGTTTATGTCCCAGCACAGCATGCTTTCGACTCAGATCAGTGATTTTCATGAGATCGTCACGAAGCAAGACTGTCGCATTGACGACCTGCAACATGTAGTAGAGAAGAACAAGAAGGATGATGATGCGCGTTTCCAGGCTTTGTCTTCCCAGGTGCAAACATTGACTGAGGAGGTTCGTCGGCACAGATCCCCCCCTCAGACCTCAGCAGTCACCCCAAGCGGACCGACATCAAGCTGGCGTGGCGAAGGAAAGCACAATGGCAATCAGACAGACACGAATTTTCTTCATGTTATTGTGGGAGGCTGGAATTTTGATTCCGACCGAGATGTCATCACAAGGGACCTTGACGCTTTTCTCAGACATTGGTCGGACTCGCACAAGAGTTTGATTGTCAGGACATTTGTTTGGGGGCGTAAGTCTCGGATCGCGAACATCATTCTGCAGTCCACGAGTTCGCCTGAAGAAGACCGTGCTCGCTTTTATGACATACAGGCAGCTTACTCCAACAAAGCCAGCAACAGCCAAGGAAACACAGTGTGGCTGACACCCTCAAAGACTCCCGAACGTCGTGCCAAGAACAGAGCAATCTCGGCTTGCAGGGAAGCTCTTGCCAAGCTACTACAGAAGGGTACTGATGCACTGGTTGTTGATTTTGGTAAGGGGATCATATGGTTCGAGTTTGATCGCCTTGCAGCGCTGGAACTCACGCAGATCCAGGTCGTCAAGCCTGCGAGGGTTTTTTCGGTCAAAGTTTCGTCTGAGCCCAGCTTCACATGCCATTTTAATGTTGGCCCTATCTCCGGGCTCACAGGAATCTCCGAGGCCGAGGTCGAAGCCCAGCTGGGACAGATCTGACTAGGGACTGAAACTGAGATGGACGTCGTTGCCCAACAGTATAGCTTGCGGATCGACTCTTGGAATGTTCAGGGTAAAGCTTTAGGGTCCTTCCTTAACTGGCTTGACTTGACTGACCCGTGTTCGGATGTTTTTGCGCTTCAGGAGGTTGGAGGGTTGCACCGATTAGGAGTTCTTCATAAGGGTGAGCGGGACTCCCTAACCCAGTATGATGGTAGTGAAGCTGGCGTGGCTGGAGAGTTCCTGGTTTTCGGATGCCACGCACTTAGCTCGCACCTGGGACAAGCAATTCTGCTGGACCGTGACTCTGTTGACTATGTCGTGGAATCACATGCTTATTCTTGGATGATATCTGTCACTTACATACCCCCACATACAGAGCAGAGTATCACTGTTGTATCAGTCCACCTCCCTCATACGGACAAGCCTGATGACGAGTTTGATATGGCAGTGCAGGAGCTGAGACTTGTGTCTCAACAGTTGCGGTCTAGCCTCTGCATGTTTATCGGCGATTTCAATGCTGAATCTGGGTCTCCACGCGGGCTACAGATAGCAGATGCCATGTCTGAAGTGCAATTTGTTCCCTTGTATTCCGGATGCCCAACCAGATTTGGTGCAGTCAGCGCCAGCGAACTCGACTACGCCTTCGTCAGCAAACCGTATGTTTCTTCTCTTGTTCGGCCTCAAACTGCCCCTGATATCCAGGTTTTTCCCGAAACGCGACATGAACTTAGCACTGACCATGCTTTGGTACGCACTGAAGGGATCCTGTGCAAAAGCTGTTTGGGGGACAGGCCCAAAAAGGCCCGCAAGCGTAGACGACGGAGATGCACAAGGTGGTCTGTCTGCAAGGAGGCGTTAGATGAACAGCTACCAGGCCACTTAGCTCAGCAACCCCCCAGTGCGGCAGGACAGTGGGAGCAATTGTGCCATATTTCACAGACAGTGTCCTCCAGCACGCCCTCCAGAAAGTACCGTGACAGCCCCTTTATTAAGGAACTCTGTTGGAAAAGACGAATGTGCACGGACCCTTCCGAGAGGACTGAGCTCACGAGACGTATTCTTTTCTTCAGGGGTGCTGCTAAAATACAATGGTTGAGAGACTTGGAGGCCCAGGCCAAAATGGGGGACGCCGGAGCTATTCGTTTTTTGCGACAACGCCAGAAGCCTAAGGGGTCGTTTGATGACCTCGTGCATCGGTGCGGGGGCCAGGACGCCGCTGCGAAACATATCCAACAGCACTTTCAAGGTCTTTTTGCCCCAGAACAGAAACCCGAAGAAGTGGACGCCGTCGCGACTTATATGAACGAACTCCAGATACACGCACAGTATCAAGGCACCCATGATTTCAGCGAAGAAGAGGTTGGCCCCTGCATTGAGCACATGCACCTCGGCAAGGTGGCTGGGCTTTCTGGCATCTCGGTAGAACTCATAAAGGCCATCTGGAACCAATCGTCGGGAAAGACACTCCTGTTGAATCACCTGAACACGTTACACCGTACAGATTCGCTTCCCGAACCCGCTGTGAATGCTTACATTGCACTTCTACCAAAACGACTTCGGGTTCTTTCGGTTGACGAAATACGGCCTATTCACCTGATCGAATCGATCACTAAGCTCTACTGCTCGGTGCTTAGTCGACGATTGCAGACGAAGTGGAGTTTGTCGCCTGTCCAGCTTGGGGGTGCCAAAGGCACCCAAGCCTTGGATGCTCTGAGTGCTGCACACTGGCACATTGACCAGCAGGCGCGTGCTCGCAAACCGGGTGTGTGGCTGAATGCTGATATTGCCGGGGCCTTCGACCATGTTTCGCACCTAGCAGTCGTCCGTTTTGTCATCGAAAACACACCTGATGAGCAGGCTCACGAGGCTCTTCAGCTGTTGCGCGTGGTTCTCTCGCCCTCATTGCACTTTGAGTGGCGTCATGAGCGATGGTGCGTTGCACAGAAACAAGGAGTGCAACAAGGACATAGCTATAGTGCTGCTCTGTTCAGCTTTGTGCTTGGGGTGGTCCTCGACAAAATTTTCGGGCAATGGGCACATCGGGGGGAAGAATTCCCGCATCCTAGTCACTTTGGGTGGGCCTATGTAGACGACGTGTTGATGACATTCAAAGATGCAACGCAAGCGCGACGGCTGGTGCCAGAGCTACAGAGGGCGCTGGCAAATGTCGGCTTGTCCCTGTCGCCCACCAAGACCCAGGTGCTGGTGCATCCTGACATGGACAAGCCATCTGACTTTCACGATGACGAATTTCTTGGACAGTGTGCATGGGTGCATGAGACCACTTACTTGCGCAAAACTCTGGCTTTTCCGAAGGATGCGCAACCTCGCTCCGAGCAGTTGCTGAAAGCAGCAGGAATAGCAACGCATTCCGCGTACGAGAGCATGCGAGCCTTTCTCCGAGGAGCCCAATGGCATGAACCCTTATTGACATGTGCCTTGCTCTACCGATATGTGGCATCTACTTGGTTGTGGTTTGCCCCCTTGATCGACGTTACTGCCCAGAACCTCACTGCTGTGAGAACCCTCCAAACCACCATGCTGATTCTGTGTTTGCAACTGTATATCCCAGCGGAATTCCCACATGCCCCGGCTATGTACCTCAACCGCTTGCGTAGGCGAATAGTACTCCTGCTGCTGGACCTTGAACCTACTCGAGCGTGGACGCACTGCTGGCAAATGCGAAGATGGACATATTTGGCTCACGTGTTCAGACGCCCTGCCCAAAATCCAACACGTAGTACTCTGCTGCATTTCACTCAGGTTGTCAGCCGCAAACCGGGACCTTGGTCGAATGCTTTAAGCTGGATGTATGCCACCT